ACAGAACCCACGCTTCCCAATCTTGGTGCCTTTTAATAGACCTTGATTGACTAATCCTTGCAAATCCTTTTCACCAACGTGCCCTAAATGTATGTGATAAAGTTTGGAATTATCTGCTTCATCATCTTTTATGCTTTTGGAGACAGTTGTTGTACCAATAACTGTAGATCCATTTAAGAAATATAAGTTTCCTATCCTCATGCCTCTTAAGACAACTAATGCATCGCAGATTGCTCTCAGGACTCCACCATGCATGATAATCTTATAACCACTGGATTATAGGACTCCAAGTGAAAATAAATTTTTCTTCAAGTCGGGTACATATCGTACCTCTGTTAGTGTCTTGACTACCCATTATGCATCTTTAGATGGATAGTTCCAATTCCTTTGACCTCAAAAACATCATCATTACCCATTAACACAACTCCTTTATTAAACTCCTCGAGTCTTGAGAATAAGTATTTGTTAGGGCATATATGATAGGAACATGTAGAATCAAGAACTCATTCACCAAAATGATTTTTTGGTGATGAAACCATGAATGCAGAGTCTTGTTCATCTTCATCTAGTGCAACGTTCATAGTTCATTCATCTTTTTCCTTGTTGCCCTTGATTGGACAATCTTTCTTCCAGTGCCCTTTTTTGTGATAAAAGGCATACTCATCTTTTGCCAGATATTGTTTGTTTGATGATTCTCCTTTGGATTTTGAGCGAGATCTCCCTCGCCCTCGAAATCTTCTAGGGTTTGTTCTGCCTTTAACTATCAATGCTTCTAACATTGACTCCTTATGAACAATTTGGTCATTCTTTCGGTACTCATTGTTCATCAAAGCATTGGACGCATCAATGAATTTAATCTTTTTTTTACCATATAGTAAAGTGGTGACGAGATGTTCATATGTGTCAGGCAGTGAATTCAATAATAACATAGCCTTATCTTCATCATCGATTTCCATATCCAAATTCTTCAAATCAGCTATCATTTTATTGAAATCATTCAGATGCTCATTCATGGAACTACCTTTCTTGTGTTGAAAATGAAAGATCCTTTTTCTTCTAGTAGAGACGATTCTTTATACTCTTCTTCATAAACTTGTAGAGTTTTGTTATGAAAAGACATACTCTTGATCCTTTACAAGACAAAGTCGGATGGAACTACATGTCATCTGATTTATCCTTTCTCAGCTTTTATCATCTAAATCCTCATGTTTATCTTTTGTAGTAAAATACAAATTCATTTGGACAAGCATATCAATAACTTCACATTTCCACATGCTAAAATTACATTTCCCATCAAACTTCTCCACCTCAAATTTGGTACTCGATATCGGGATGTATTGTAGAGATATACTAGCATTCCCCACTGATTTTTCTTCTAGAATATCGGCTATTAGGATGTCTTTAGATTACAAATGGACTCCTAAAATTGTTAAAACACGCACTTTTATGCTCAAAAGAGCCAAAAGAGTAACTTTGGTGTGTTGTTTCACAAAACGAACACCATAATTGCATCTGAAATGGTTGAAAATGCTAGGAACAAGTTTGACCCTACCAAAAACAGGCTAAAAAATCACTGAGTTAGCCAAAAGACCAATCTGATCGAGTTAACTTAAGAAAGGAATATTCTATCTGTCATGATCCGAATCCTGGATCCATGACCGGCATATAGGCAAGGTTCCCCTCCAAGGTTTCCATGCCTATACAAACCCAAACTTACACACAAACTTATCCTTCAAAACTCAATCAGAGCTCAACGCAGCATTAATAACAAAATCAACTTCATAATATAATTGAATTGTCTTGATACAATAGTTAATATAATTTCGTAGTTTTGGAGTACTAACTAGACATAAAGGAAAATGTACAAATTACAACCAAAAAGAGCAAGTTCTGAAGGTCCAACAAAAGTGACCTGTTATTAAGCTATAAGCCTGAAAAGGATAAATAATGAGAGGGTGAGTTCAACAATTCAGTGAGTAGATAACATTCAATATATACACACAAAGTAATACAAAAAATATAGGCTTTTATAGAAAGGTTTATCAAATAGGCCATAACAAGAATATCATATGGTAAAACTCCACAGAAAATCAAAATACAATGAGCATAGGCTCCGTACTGTGGGATGATCAGTCCATACAGGTTGGTGACTCCCCCGACCAACTAGGGTTTAGATACGATGTGCACAAAGACTAACACTACCCTGTTAGCATGGGTATTCTGATTAACATACTATAGGTTCATAATCATAATCAGACAGATATATTCATATCCCAAGGCTCAACTCATGACATCAATCAAACGAGGAGCTATCAATTCAGAAGTCAATTCAAAATATATACGGTTTCATATCCAGAATTCAGATTCAATAATTGATCATGCTTTATCATAAAAAGGATAATAATCAGTATATATATTATCAAGAAGCATGATCCAATTCATATTAACAAATCAAATATTTATAATATTTCTCATGCATATGAAAAATTATTCGCTCACTTAACTCAAAAGCAAACAAAACTCAAAGCTGATACTGATGGAAATCCTATTGACGTCCCGCCAGTAGAATATTAGGATTATCTGAATATAAAGGAGACATATTCAAAAATAACTCAAAAGAACATAAAACCTATTTAATACACTTATCTAAGGGTATATTCCATAATCCTATATGTTTTTAGACTAAACTAGTTATTTTCTCAAAAACTCAAAAATCTAACGATTTTTCTTAAATCTAATCCATAATAAAATAAATAATAAAATTGATAATAATTCTCTAAATAACCCTAAATTATTCATCAAACCAATCTGAAAAAGCTAATATCACAGCTAGGGACTAATATGGAATTTATTATATTTTTAGGGCCAAATTGTAATTTTCGTCTAATTGGAGGACCGAACTAAATATATCCTAAATTCATGACTATAGTGGAATTATGTTCATAATTCATCAACATTTCTATCCAAAACCTCTAATTATGCTCCAGGCACCATTCTGGAATTTTTCCAAATTTGTAGGGTCAAATTGTAATTTTTGTCAAATGGAGGATCAAACTAAAATTTGTCATGAATCCATGAATATGCTGAAATTATGACCATAATTAATCCTCAATTCTGTCCAGAATATCTCATTACAGTCCAGGGACCATTCTGGAATTTTACCAAATGTTTAGGGTCAAATTGTAATTTTTGTCAAATTAAAGGACTAAATTGAAAGTGTTAAAATTTCATAAATATACAGTAATTCTGCTCATAATTCATCTTTTATTCTGTTCAGAATCTTGGAATAGGCTCCAGGGACCAATCTGTAAATTTTTCAAAGTTTGGGGACTAAACTATAATTTCCACAAATTGAGGGATCAAATTGAATTTTCATCATCTTCCACCTCCAACCCAGAATTTCAATAGAAAACCCACTGTTCTTTCCTTATTTCTAACACAAATTCAACATTCAAACAAAATTATAACTTAAAATCATCATTTTTCAATTCAATCTCTCAAAATTAGTCATATAATCAAATACCCACAATAATTAACCTTATAACATTTAATTTAATTCATCAGTTAAACCCAAAACACAAATTTTCAAAACCCTGAAATTCATCAAAACTGAAATTAAAGCTTAAGAAAACATATTATACACATTAAAGCATGATCTTACCCTTTTTACTTATTTCTTCCAATTCCTTTCTATTTCCCTTCTAATTTCCCTATTTTCTCTTCTTCTTTCTCCCTTCTCTATCCTGTCGATTCTCTCTCAAATTTTCAGATCCCACTTTTATTTTTTTTTCTATTTATATTTATTATGTTTATCTAATTACCACACTACCCCTCATTCATTTATACCCACTCTTTAAGCGATCAAGGGCTTTGTTGTATTTTCCAACTCATTAATTCAAAACATTACACTATCTCTGATAAAGAATATTCCATCATAGTCAAGGAAATATTCTCTTTTTATTCTGTCAAGAGAATATTCTGTCTCTATTAGATGACGTGACTGATGACATGGTGATGTTGACTCCCTGTTGATAATGTGGATAATGACTCAGTGTCAACGTGTCTAGTAACATGGCATAGCCTTCTAAGGCTAGAATTCCGACACTATCTAGTTTTTCTAACAGATTTCAAGAGAAATTTTTTTGAGATATAAAGGGCTCGTTTCAACTCCGATTTCGATGATCTTTATATCGCCGAACTCGTATCGATGAGAGGAATCTCCGTAAGAGATCAAAATCAAGATTTGAAAACTTTGAAAATTTTGCAACTTCGAATCGAGAGCTGAAAAAACGTGTTTTTTCAATGTTCTAGCCTCTCTAATGCTCTAATACTAATTTGTTGTGCATACCGAACAGAAAGTAAAAAAAATAAAAAAAAACACAAATAAGTAGATTTATGTGGTTCCCCAAAACCAGGTACATCCACGGAGACAGCAAATTATATATTATTGGAGAAATGATACAAACACTCAATTTAACCTAGTGCAATCCTAGAAAACCAAGTGTTTCACTTTTACACTCACACTCTCAAATATGCTCTTTTTTCACTTCCTTTACACTTCCACTTACCTTGCTCTCTCTTTGTCTTCATTTATAGGAGAGCCTTGGCAACATTCAACAAAAAACAATCAACTCCTAACTACTACAATAAATGTTGTGGTTGAAAAAAGAAGAGGGTGGCTGATGGTGGTTGAAAAATATTGACAAAATTGCTATAAATTTGATTCAAGGATGGAGAAGGCTTAGCTTGGTTATGCATTACCCTGCTTTATTTCTGTATCTTAGAACAGCAAAATCCATGCGGTGATAGAGCTTTGTTAGTCGAATCAAATCGATTTAGATTTGAGTTCTCAACTATAATTTACTTGTTCATTCAGTATCAAAAGTTCGAAAAAACAAAAAAGACCGCTGAATCGGTTTAATTAAACATGCTTAAGATCAACTTTTGTTTATGATCATTTCATATTGAAACAGCTGATAGACAAAAATAGATCCTTCATATGCAAATTCAGCTATATGCATGCATAGATATCAATAATAGATTGCCTACAACATCAATGAATCTATACATGCAGGATACGTGGCAATGTCTAATCCTGCTGGGAATTGGATGGAGCGATCTTGTCACGGTGGAATCTCACTGCAATGCATGTTATGTTATCAGCACTGCCCCGGGTAAAAGCAGCCTCGGTTAATTTCCTAGCTGCTGTCTCAGGTTCTTCTTCTGTTCTGGCAATGGAAACAGCATCCTACACATGATTCAGGCAAGGGGAGGCAAAAACAGTTCAAAGTCTAGAAATTGGACACCAGGAAAAGAAACCTCAAGCAAACATTCCATATCACCAGTCAGATGTTTAATTCAATGCACTGTGAAGAGCAATCAATTATTTCTATGATAACCAAAATGTCTAATAGCCTAAGCAGTGGGCCAAATGTAAATGGTCAACTCGCACAATCCATTATTATAATCTCACATCAAAACTGAACAAAGACGTGTATTCATGCTTACGCGCTTTTATTTATCAGTGTGTGTGTGAGAGGGAGGGGGGTTAACATAATTACCTCATTGGGTACAACATCCCATAGTCCATCACTTGCGAGCACAAGCAATTCAAATTCTTGATCTATTTTCTGCTCCTGAAAGAGCGAAAAGTATACAAACAAGTGGCTGATTAATTTTGAATAAACTTCAATCGGAAGAAGTTCATGCAGTTTGATCCAGGAAAATGGAAGAAATCCTAGACTGAATTCTATTTTGATAGACACCAAGAAGGTTTTTATATGCATCTAGAGGATCCCACCAGGAAACAGCCTAGGAACACTCCACAAAACAACTATATTGCAATTTAATCAAGTTCACAGGATCTTCAGAACTTATTTATCAAATAGACATATAATTGAAGGCTTATAACCAAGAGGTAATGGCTTGTAAGAAGTAATTTTATACGCGTTAATCAAGTAGCTTTGTAGTTTTTTTTTAATTATGATTGTAGTTTTAATTTCATAAGCAAATAATATCAAAAAATGTTTTATTATCTAGGAGTCTGGATGTAATCAGAATATAAATTACTCTATGAATATAAGCATTTATTTTCTAAGAGAGGACCCCGAAAGGAAACTTCTTTATTGTTTAGGTCTGTCTATAACATTAAAAGTTTTCTCTTACCCCACTTCCATGTTTTAGTGAAGCTAACAATTAAATCCCGCATCTTTGATACAATACCATGGAATTACAATCTTAATTAGCTGGGATCTCACGTTGACATTACAGTTCAATTCAGGTGCTCAAGAAAAACCACCGAGATCAAAAGTCGAAACAATAAAAGACCTAGTTTTCACCTGCTGTTGCGGCATAAATATAACCTAGCATCCAACACTAATACACTAAAAAAAGTTTACAGTCAACCAAGGAAGGTAATTTGCTCTGCTGGGATAATTCCTACGATGAAAGAACAAAAATAAAAATTCAATAATACCCTGACTCGGGAATGAAGCATGCCTTGAACATATTACTCGCTTGTATTTGAAACCAAAGGCAGAAAATTTATCACATAATCATTTTACATTTAAATTGTTTTAATTATTTAATTACTTTTTAATTAAATTATTATTTATGTGGAAGTGAATTTCATTATATTAATACTCACACAACTTTGTAATATAAATTTAAAATTATATGAGTAGATTCAAGATTAAATTCAGAGTTTAAACTAGTTTACTTAGAAATCCAATCTTATATAACCTAGCATCCAACACTAATACACTAAAAAAAGTTTACAGTCAACCAAGGAAGGTAATTTGCTCTGCTGGGATAATTCCTACGATGAAAGAACAAAAATAAAAATTCAATAATACCCTGACTCGGGAATGAAGCATGCCTTGAACATATTACTCGCTTGTATTTGAAACCAAAGGCAGAAAATTTATCACATAATCAAATTACAAAGTGCTTTTAATTGAGATAAACACAAAATAACTTACATCAAACCCTTCACTGCGTAACCTCATAAAAATAACTTTACTATTCATGTTTTTTCATATTTCGAACAGGAAATATGAACTGTGTTAATTGATGGAATCTGAGAAGAAAGGATTTGGACTTGAAGGTCTAATCTATTGATTCAGAAAACCAGTACATATATACATGGAAAAGCACTATTCCTGTGCAACTTCCAAACATAGCTACCTAAATGTATGCCTTAATTGACAACTGATTACATGTTTACCGCTAAGCATGATATTAGGAGATCTGACAGAATAAGGCAACATAATATTCGCCAACATGATTTCAGAAATATATATTCGTCTAATATTAATTGAGATAAACACAAAATAACTTACATCAAACCCTTCACTGCATAACCTCATAAAGATAACTTTACTGCACGATTCATGTTTTTTCATATTTCGAACAGGAAATATGAACTGTGTTAATTGATGGAATCTTCTCCAGAGCCAAGTATCAATGGTAAATTGCCAGTTCTTCCCTATGTTTTCTCAGACTTTCTGTTTTCCACCGAGTTTTAATGAAAGGTGTTATTTATTGTGTCAGTTTATCACTATTTCAACTTCTTTTCCTCATGCTCGCAATCAGAAAAGGAATCTTCTCCAGAGCCAAGTATCAATGGTAAATTGCCAGTTCTTCTGTACATGTTCCCAGACTTTCTGTTTTCCACCGAGTCTTAATGAAAGGTGTTATTTATTGTGTCAGTTGATCACTATTTCAACTTCTTTTCCTCATGCTCGCAATCAGAAAAAGAATCTTAAGGCAAGGTCCTTTCCAATATATTAAGCCTTTAGATTGTTGGAATAGATTAGTGCAGTTTAGACTAGAAAAACTTCGCTGATTATCTTGTCTGTAACTTGAAACCTGAAGCTCATTGAGGCTTTTGTTGTGTCCTTGCCCATTTTATTTCACACAGTAGAGCACAATGGTTCATGGATCTTAAAGCAGACAGATCAACCTAGTTGTGTTGAATCATTTCAAGAGTGTTTTTTTTTTTTTCCCTGTTCTTTTAGATTAAGAAGCGTTTTCAGTGCAGTTTAGACTAGAAAAACTTCGCTGATTATCTTGTCTGTAATTTGAAACCTGAAGCTCATTGAGGCTGTTGTTGTGTCCTTGCCCATTTTATTTCTCACAGTAGAGCACAATGGTTCATGGATCTTAAAGCCGATAAATCAACCTAGTTGTGTTGAATCATTTCAAGATTTTTTTTCCAGGTCTTTTAGATTAAGAAGCGTTGTGCTATTCCTCAGTAACTTGTCGAGATTGATTGACTTTTGGATAGTTAATTCCTTCTCTTTTATCTTGTGTAAGTTAAACGTGATTTAGCAATAAGGACGGGCAACCTTCAAGGAATCACCAGTAGAACCTTGAGCTGGCGAGTTCTTGGAAATAACGGACACTAAAAAAATTAAATTATAGTACTACTAATTAATTTAACCAAAGATAAAAATAAAAATAAAATAGATGAACAGGGTATGCCCTTTATTTTTAAATTGAATACTTAAACTAATAACTTCCTTAACTACATCAGGAGGCACTAATTAAAGATGGTTATGATGGCAGGAAGGTTTCCCCATGCTTGCTGTCAAGCTGCTTCTGCTTCTGCTGCTGCTGATTGCCTCCCCTTACAGCCAGCAACAAGTGTCCGGACAAAAAAAGCCAGAATGATTAAAACGATAGTTCCTATGACCAACCCTGCAGTAATGTAATCATTCATCTTGCTTCTCCAAATCAACCTTCTAGCTTCAAGTACTGGACCTGCATGCAAGGCCAACAATCACACAACGATTTAACTTGATGGAATCTAATAAACATGAAAAAGATGAGTCAAAAACAATTACCAGCAGCCAGGAGCTTCACAGCAAGAAGTCGACTTCAATGTACGAGTTTTGAAAAAAGTATGGCCCATATTTATATTGAGTATTCAGGAGTCTAGATAGGAAATTGTTTTTTCCTTTAATTGCTAGGTTAACAGTTCAGGAAGTTTGGCTACAAGATGCCCGAAACATTATAGGAAATTGCTTGTCGCATAGGAAGTTATTTGTGGGAAATCGTATAGGAATTTTTTCTTTTGGCAAGTTCGACTACAGCATACGTGCAGGAACCTTTGTTTTAGCCCTTGTTATTTTTTTATTTTTTTATTTTTATCTCTGGAGCAATTCCTTGAAAGTCTGTTACATGACAGCCCGTGATATGCAAAACATGGGCAAGACAAGCTGCATTATGACAACTGCACTGCACAGCTTCGACCTGCATTATCTCCTCTGCATAATCTCATAAGTATGCCTTTTTTTCCCCTAGTTTTCAGTTGCACAATTCATGTTCTTCCTGTTGGGTGTGGACACAACATGGTTGGTGGCAGCCATGTTAGACATGGCTAAAGTCAATGGTGGGTGCCTAACCAAAGAAATTGTTGCCCACCATTGTTGACTAAAGAAGAAACTTGTCTCCCACATCAGCTATAAATAGAGAGTGTCATTGATAGCTGATGAGCACCACGAGATAGAGAGAAACACAGAGAGAGAGCTAAGGGTGAGAGTTGAGTTGAGTTGAGTTGAGAAGTTTTCTCCTCCTCCTTGTTTTGTTGTTTGTATTGCTTTTGAGCTTGATTAATACAAACCAGTAGCTCCGTGGAGTAGGCAAGTTGCCGAACCACGTAAATTTGTGTGTGTTTGAATGTTTGGATCTCCTAACAACTGGTATCAGAGCTTGTTCTTGAAAGTTCTTGAAAAAGAGGGTGTTTGATCCAAACTCAAAAATCAAAGTTCTCAAAACGTGTTTTTGAACATACCACCGTGAAGAGGACGACGAGAGGAATCCACTGGTGAAAACCCGGCGAAAATCCGACGTCCTGCATGCCCGCACGCGCCTGCACGTGCCACCACCAGTACTGTCCACGCGCACAGACGCGCTTAACGCGCCTCACGCGTCTTCCTCGCCGTTTCCTGCAACTCGACACCGCCACGTCAGCCGTTCGACACAGTCAGCAGCCAAGTAACCTGCCACATCAGCAGTCTGACCGGTCAACCAGCCACGTCATCCCTGCCACGTCATCCCTGCCACATCAGACGAAAATCTCTGTGGATCTGCCACGTAAGCTTAGGTGGACCCCACATTGCCTACGTGTTTGACACGTCATCTTGCCATGTCAGCATAACTGGGTTTTGATCCGGTGTGGCGTAGCGACTATTCCTCCGGCCACGTGGCTTCATCTGCAGCATCTAGTTATCCCAATTTTTG